CTCTTGGGATTTGAATTTTGCCATAAAACTCCATTTTTCATCCAATTACCTACTCAAAATATTAGGACATCATATAGAAACTTAAAACAACCTCCCAAGAATCCAAAAAAATTAAAGCTTATAAGAATAAAGCTTTTGGGATCAAATTTTAGAAATTTTTTCTTCCAAAAATTAAAGAAAACCAAGAGGAAAGGAAGAGAATTAAAATAGGGAGTTCACCTATCGTTTAGCTGAGCTTGCAACGACCGCAAAGCCTTCCACATCTGAGCTCTAGCTTCCTTCTCTTTCCCCTCTCTCCACCATCTCCTCTTCTCTTTTTCTTGTTTGTTTCTTTCTTTGTTCTTATTTTCAACTTCTGCGTTCAGTTTTCCCTTTTTAAAACTAATTTAAAAAATTTGGAAAAAATTAAAAGAAAGGGCCCAATATTTTTTATTACAGCACAAAAGCCTGGGTCAACTATGGTGATTTTCTCATAATTAAAAAACAAAATAAAACCAAACTTTGGCTTAGTAAAATTTAAACTTTGGACCTTTATCAAATTATTTTTAATTTTAATTTAGTTGTAAATATTTTATTTTAAAATAAACCTAAGTCATAAAAATTTCAGGATGTTACAGTCGACCAAGTCAACAATGAGGTATTGATTGACTTGTTCCACCATGCACAAGATACTACTACCTTGTGTAACTTATATACGAGGTATGTCTCCAAAATATTACATTAAATATTTTGATATATCTATATTTTAGTCATTTATTAATCAACTTACTGTGACATTTAAAAAACTTGTACACTGTTATGCTTGCTGAAAGAGATATAGCGAAAAGGGTTATACTTGTTAGTCCCCATCTAGTCTCTCCTTATGGACACAACACAATAAGTCCTAAGCAAGGATTAAAAATAGCTCATAAGCTTTCTAAATACTTCGAGCAACGTAGTGCCAATAAGAATAAAATATTTATAGTGCCTTATTGTGAAGGGTAAATCACTTTATGATACTTCACTTTCCTCAAAATTAAATTGTGACACTTTCTAATAGTAATCATTGTAATAAGGGTCATTGGATGATACTTGTAATCAATCCAACTATAGAGAGAGTTTGGTATCTCGACCCTATTAGTGGTGGTGATTCCTCCAACAGGCCACATATAGTAGAGATGATTAATCAATAAGTTTACTAAGTTTGTTCATATATGTATGTAATTTGTTCTTTTTGTATGAATATTTCTCATATCAACTTTTTTGTTGTATGTTAGGGCAATTGTCACGTACAGCACCAATGTTGATTTGTAATCTCGACAACTAACAATGGGTAGCGGTCGCCTTAATAAAGCAACATCATGGACAGTTAGCAAGATATATGTATTTATCATTAATTGTGTTTAAAATCTAAATATAAGTCATGCTATGTCATTAACTGATCAGATTTTTTATCTAATGTATGATCATAGTGCTAGAAATAACACGACAAAGATAGGGATTATGGGTACGCTGTCATGAAATACATTAAGGATATAATTTAACATACTCCTATCGAGACTCTTTTAGTTAATGTATATATATATATGTTGTCTACCTTCTCATCATTATATAATATTTTTAGTAATTAACATGACTTTAATTTGTTTTTTTTTTGCAATCAGTACTATGAGGATGCATACTGTGATGTATTTACTAAGGTTCATATGAAAGAAGTCCTTGAAGAGTTGGTGCATAGTATTTTCCTAGCATGGTTTAGCTACAACAACCAACAACAGTAAAGACATAGATGATATTAGTATACATTTAAAGCTAACATAATAGAGCTACACTTACTTGGCCAATTTTTTTGAGATTTGGAGCTTTATTTTGGCCACTTATTAGTTTAATTTAAGCTAGTTCAAATTTTATATAGCTTGTGTAGTAATTCATAACATACATTTCATGTAAAAAATAATATTATATTTTTGGCTATTGAAATCTTGTTCTGGGTGTGCTGGATATTGTATTTGTAAATGTTTAATGCAGGGGGTAGCTTAGAAATGTAGGAGGTGGAAAGAAAAAAAATCTCCAATATATTCAGTAGTTATTAATATAATCGTCAAATAAATTATCAATATTTAATGGTTTAATCTCAAAAATTGTTGAATATTTTCAATCTTCTCTCCTTAATTTTGCACCTGAAACATCACATATTCAACAGTTTTAATTCAATAACTGTTGAATATGTATGATATATTCAATGGTTGCTTCATACAAGCATTGAATATATCATTAATATTCAATAGTTATTAAATAAAAACTATTGAATATGTCTTGCCTGACAAGCATATATGCAACAATTTTGTTAAAAAAAATCATTGAATAAATGATGAATATTCAACGGTTAAAAAACATTGAATAAAGTCTGAGTGAATATCCAGTGCCTGCTTACTCAATGGTTTATAACTATTGAATATTTGCTAAAATAGCCGTTGAATATTGCCTTTTTTGTAGTAGTGAAATATATATACGTATATATTTAAGCTAAGAATTGTCCGCATTATTGTCTAGATTGAAAAGGTACAAAAACAAATATTTAAAATAAAATAACAATGTTATTATTTGGGCATTAGGATTTACAGAGCATACATTAATATTGCAAGAGGATTGGTTTGGAGAAAATTATTTATTTAGAAAATTATCAAGTAAGTGGATAGCATCCCAACTGATTCATTAATGAAATTATTATTTTGAAATATTATATTTTTATATAGATTATTTTAATAACAATTTTGTTAAGTATGAGATATTTCGTAATTTAAATCTCTTTGTCTTGTGAAATTATTTTTATTAGCATTAGAAATTCTTGGTTTCTCAATAACACAAGCATGAAAATTAGTTATGAAATCTTATTCTGGCAAGTTTTGATGCATAAAAACAATCCATCTGGGTTTGACTTTGAGAATGCAAACCCTATTTTAATAGTGATAATTTTCTCACATGTTTAAAAATAAATTTGGAGGGGACTTTATATAGAGTGCTGGTTGCTAACAGCAATTCTGTTAGCCCTTGGTGCAATACGGTCAATGACTAGCTAGTTTAATTTTTATGAGTTCTACTCTCATGCCTGTTATTTGTGAGTCTTGTACCAATGCTTGTTTCATGGCTTCGACTACATCTGGTTAGTAACCCTCATAGACTATGTGTCCATATTTGTCTTCACGGCGTAAGCTATGTTTGGTTATTTACCCTTTAGACTGTGTATCTATGTTTGTTAATTATTCTAATAAGTCTCTATAATTATGAATTAGCTTATTTAAAGTTATATAGGGCCATTTTATTCCAAAGTTTACTAAAATTTTATGGAAATCGTTGTCTCTTTAATTTACATAATTGTTTTCAACTTTTTGTTTTTCATGTTTAATTATTTATCATTAGGACATTATTTACTAAAAATAATTTTAGTCTTAGATAGTGTAGCTGACACTAAACTACCAGATGAACAATGGGGAGTTTATTATTAACTAATGGTGAAGGAGCTCATGATTAAGCTTTATTTTGATGTAAAGTTTTAATTATGAAAATTTATTTTGTAAACTTATTTTTAGGTGCTTCACATAGCTTGTGGCTAGGCTATTTATGTTGATATACATATTTTGTCTGTTGGCTGGAAGGAGCTTTGCTTTTGACTGATTTGATATTTTTGGTTTGAACATTGTATTATAGAATTTTTAGGAGGTCCTATTTATTGAGGAGGTTCTACCAAAATTTCTACAAAATTATTAAAACTTTTATTATAAAAAAATTTATTAAAGGAATTAAAAATTGCAATATAAATCTAATTATTTTAGAAATAAATATTAAATATTAGATTAAGGTTTCCTTGACCATTGTTTAAGGGATGTATGTTTGTACATATAGTGCTAGTCACATTTAATTTTTGGGGCTTGACATAAACCTTAAACCAAAATAACTCAAAATCAACCCTAAAGTATTGAATTAAAAATAACTGCACAGATCTAAAGTAAGATGCATATTTTCCTAATTTGACCAATCAAAATATATACAAGTAAGCCAAAATATATTATAATCTAAGGAAAATGTGCTTAAATAATATGAAATTTTAGAGGTTATAATGTATTTAGAAACAATGAGAGGCCCCCTAAACCGTTGATTTACAATTGAGACTATTCAAGTATGTTCATTTACAACTGATGTTCTACATACTTAAAAAGTGACATTCCTAAAATACACAATTGATCGTCCCAAAATTACAAGTTATGCCTACATTTATAAGATTATCTATTCAACCTAATTTTCATAAATTTACTTGTATGATCTTCCTAAATTCATAAGTGATCAATATCTTTAAATTCACTAGCGATGATACATAAATATGTAAAATTATTTGTCCATTCATAATTGACTTTCCATTAATTCAAAATTAACACTATTTATATTTCACAACTAACTTTACTTAAATTCACAGGTCACATTCTACTAGTTATTTTAATAATTATTTATTTTTAATTACAAATAAAGACCATGTCTCTATAACATTTCAATAATTCCAGGTTTTCTATTATCATTAATACCTCCATAATGTTCTATAATTGTCATTTTCCCTTGTAGTTATGTAGATGAAAGATTATACTTTGCACTTAATTATTAGTTATTATAATTGATTTAATCCGAACTCTTTTTAAAATAACATACCATGTTATATCTATAATCTAATGTACTCTGTAATTATATTTTTCTTCAGGTAGCGTGATGCTTCTTCATGAATGTTATGAAATCTTAAGTTAATTGTATGCATGATTTTGATAATTTTAGATGTTCAGAATATATATGGAAACAGTATTCCGATCTCTCTCCCTTTGTCCATTAATTGAAGTTTCTCTCTTCAATAATTAAAGCCTTTTATCATCATCATCATCAGAATGTAGTCATGTATGATGCACAAAGAAATGTCAGTTATTTTTATTCCAACCTCAATCAATCTTGAAATCAGAAAATAATCCAATACAATGCTTTCAATGTTAGATCACTTAAATTTGTTACATTTTCCATCAATGATTGATGATGGCTGCCTTGGCTAACTGAGAAATAGTATAAGGAGAACAAGCAGCTCCGTTGAAGCATTCCTTTGCAGCTATTTCATATGCGATTTGAGTTTGATGGGTACATTGATCAAATTTGAGATACTTTGATCTATCAGGACAAACTGGTCCATGGTCCACATAACAAGGTTCTTGTGTGTTTGTGATCCCTGTAATGTGAACAAACCCATATAAGAAAGCAAAATTACAATAACAATTAGATTATTATTATTATTGTATAAAATGATGTAATTAAATAAAATAGTTCTATTTACCATATTTTTGAGGATTTCTCGTAATCTTGTTATACGCCTTGTAGACGTCATATATGGTAAATATTGAACTGAAGAGTTCAGAATGTAACTTTTGCAGCCTTTGAGGAAGTTCGTCTGCGTAGTATCTTGATTCACAGCCTTCTGTAAAGTTATGTGGCCCACGCATTGAAATGCCCAAAACTACAAAATTTCTAGCTCCGAGTTCATAAAGTATCTGTGTAATAGATATTTAAATAATGAAATTGTGTCATATTATCTATAAACAATAATATCTTAGAACCTAAATATACATCAATGTTAGCATAATATATAATACAAAGTTATTACATTTTAATATCCTCTAATATTGGCTAAAGTGTATACCTTTGGTCTTTTAATTTTATACTCCCTCTGTTTAAAAATATAAGACATTTTTAACTAAATCTTATCTGAAAAAAATAGTTACCTATTTTTAAACTAACTCTATCTTTTCATATTTACTCCTATTAAATACCATACAATAAATATAAAATTATTATTAATAGGGGCACTTTTGGAAGAAAAAAACCAATGATTATACCTTGAAAGACTAAAAATACTTTATATTTTTAAACATCTAACTCCTCAAAAAATGCTTTATATTTTTTAATGGAGGGAGTATGAGATTTTGATTTAGTATCTTACTTTTATAAAGTATCTTTTAAGTCCTTTAACCTTAACATCATTAACTTTAAATAATTATTTTTCCAATCATTGTTATTTTTTAAAAAAATAAATTTAATATGGTAACATTTGAAGAAAAGGTTTTTATTATTTAAAAGTTCAATGTATGATTTTTTTTGTTGATAAAACTAATAGTGTTTGAATTATAAGATTAAAAAAATATTTTATAAAATTAAAAAACTAAAACAAAATTTATATAAAATTAAAAGATAAAAAATATACTTTAATCTTCTAATAGTTTACATGGATAACAAAAATCAAGATAATGTAAAACGTACCTTGATATGACCTGAGGTTTCATCAAGAAGGTAATCTGTATAGTCTCGTGGACGGTATTTATTGGTGACATTTTCAGTGCTCATCTTTTTGGAGTAATCATTATTTCCAGCAAGGACAAGGTACAAAGAATTGGCCAAGTGTTTTTACAACTTCTCTTTGTCATTTATTGCCTTGGGAGATATTTTGTCACAGTTGATGTAAAGTATCCTACTTGTTTTGATAATGTCAAGCATTCTCCCTTCAATGCAAAAAAGATAATTAATTAGATGGTTATCATATAAAGATAAAAATTAATTAGTTAATTAATTATAAAATGAAAAGATTTATTTTAATTTCTTACTACTCCGGTTGTATTTAAGATCCTACATGCTCTTGATGCATAGCTTATTCTTGTTGTTATTTGACTTCTTTTAGAATCTGTAAGGTTTAAGTATACAGGAGGCATTGGTAAATCCAAATAAGTTGCTGCAAGGATAGAAACAAATGTCATAAGTGTTTTTACTATTTGGATAATATGCAATTAAAGGGTTAAAGTTTAAAATTATTATATTACTTAAACAATGTTTCAAATATGTTTGGAGTAATTAGAGGAAATTTACAACTTCAAATAAATACTAGCTATTATGAAATATCATATAATCAATTCATGTAACAACATTACAACCTAGTATGTTGCTCATTCTCCAAATCATTTGGAGATATAAGATGCGAAATATTTTGTCAATATTTAAAAGTTAAATGTAAAATTTTTTGTGGATGAAATTAACAATATTAAAGTTAATAGATACTTTAATTTTCATAACCCTCTCTTTTCAAAAATGCATGATCATTAAGGATAGAAAAAAAATTGATTTGAGAAGTTTACAACAGTTCAAAACTCACTCAAAATTAATTAAATAACCGAATAAAAAGCATTTAATTAAACCACTAAAAATTAACATACCAATAAAGTCAGCCATAGTTTTCCCATTAGTGAATCGACTGGTTATACTATGAAGATCAATTCCATAAGGCCACCTGTTAGCTTGTGCTGGTGTGTTCAAATGAGTGTTGTTTCCAGCAACGACATGGGAATTACCAAACACATACAATGCTAACACCAAGCGATGTTGTTCATCACCATTGATATTAGTAATCGAAACTTGGTTGGCAATGAAGCGAAAAAACAGAAGAATAAACAACATAGAGTTTTCCATGTCTTTCTGCTTCAAATTAATATGGAACCTTGTTTAATCAATCACGAGTGGCTTGGATGATTAGAGTATCATGAATGTGTGTATATATATACACAGAGAGAATTATGAGTATTTTTTGTGAAGGCAACCAAAAAAAGATAAGAGAGTTCAATTAGTAAACGTATTTGGGATATAGATAAAAATGCTTGGTTATTAATTATTTGCATGTATAAAACCTATTTGTTAACCTCATATATAATGGTAAACAAGAATGAGAACGAATCAAAAGTTAATATTAGTAATGAGATATCTATTATTATAACAATGCTAGGTTTTGATAGAATCAAGGAAAATTGACCATGACATGATCGCACATTAATTAGCACGTAAGATCTGCTATTATTGTGTGGAAATCCTGTACACAAGGAGATGGGTATGGGAAAGAGAAAATGGTTAAATATAGCTTTTTCTTTCTCAACATCATCATTCTTGCATATTAATTGTAAATAATCAAAGAAATAAGCCATATTGGTTATAGTTTATGAATAACAACACATGGTATTATTATACTGGGTTAAAGAGCAAAAATATTTAGTAACTTTTTTTCCAAGAGCACATATTATTTTTAATTGAACGAATATGCAACAACACCCATGAATTTGTTTTAAGGAATGCAATAATTCTCATTTTGTTAAATTTAACTAACAATCATTAATGTTCACCATTAACAAAAGAAGAAGCAAACACAAAGTGTAAAAATATTAATAATTTTTTTCTCTAGGAGCTTCTAGTATCCTAAAGTCAACAATAGTGAATGGGTACCCATTAATTTTTATAAAATAGGCTAACCTTTCCAATTTGTCAAGTTCTATTCTTAGAACTATATGGTCAACATCACTTTATTTTAACAGATTGGGAAAGGTTAGAGCTAGTGATTTGGGTCCAACCGGTGGGCCAACTTGTAACATTCTACTTTTTCAAAAATAATTATTTAACTTTACCATGATAATTGAAACAAAACTCATCCTTCAAAAACATTTACCACGGTAGAAAAAGTGTCTACGGTGATAAAAAAAAAATAGAAATACCATTTTACAAATACTAGATCCCATTCTAAAATGAGAATTGAAAACCAAGGTGTTAAAATAAATCGTACTTAATAGAAAAATTAGGTCTCGAGCAATGTAGTCAAAAACAAATTTATTGAGGGTAAAAGAGTCCAAAGGACTAAATCTGAAGTTTGGAAATGTGAATGGGCAATTATGTAAAAGAATGCACCATTTGTCATGGCTAACATATCATATGCCACAATGAATGATTCAAAGGAGGAAGTCCTTGACAGTGTGTATGCAATGCAATTGATGTGTGTCATCCGTCACAATGTATCGTGCCTAACAACAACAAACTAGAATGAACATTATTTTCAAATTTTAAAATTGCATAACTTCTATTACTCAACTTCAAATTGAGTGATTCAAGTATCAACATAAATCTTATAAAGAAAACTAGCTATTGGCTTTGATTTGACCAAAAATTCATTAATATGACAAAGTTATCCACAAAAGTCCATTAAGGTCAGCAAAACTTTTCTTATCCAAATAATCCTCATAAATCAACCTCAAAGCCAATACTAGAGATGGGGCCACTTGACCATATTCCAAGCTCACAAAATAACTTATACAATTCAACATTTAAATTCGCCAATTGGGTTATAGCCGCCTAACACAAGATATATATATATATATATAGCATAATAGTTCCATAAATTCATCAAAATCCTTATGCAACATTTAAGTATCTGACTTAATCAAAATATAATCATGAGTATGATTAATTAAAAAGAAATATAGAGCAACAATGCTCATTTAAAAAAAATGAATGCTCTAAGTTGGCAAGACACATTATAGTCTAATAACATATATGGCTTAACACAAAAAAATAGTGCTCCACACACTACCCATTGGTGCTTTTCTAGCCAAACCTTCTCTTGTTAATTAAAAATGTTAACCATAAGGAATTAGATACAAATGTCCTAGTAACCAAAACTAAGATGCAATTATGCATGTCAAGCAACTAACCATGCAATTGCTAAGTGAAGCATGCAAAACATTTTCCAAGCAAAATATGTTCCAAACATTTCAAACAAATCCAAACAGTTATTAATGCATGACTACTAACTTTATCCCCTCCTTGGTCTGGACTTAACTCCATACTTAGTGCTAACTAACTTGGCCAAAGGTATGTTAGCCCAAGCCTTGACAAACCATTCATTAAGTCTAATGAGAGCATACCACATGGCACTTGATAATTTTTGAAACAAAATCCTCAAACATCCTTTCAAAATTGAATAAGTCATGTGTAAGAGTTTATAAACCAAACACAATACCAAACAATATTCATAATTCGAACAAGTCATGCTCTTTCAAACATAATTATCATTACACATATGCATTTCCATCCCACTTGGCAATATTTTCAAAAACAAAAAAACAAAACATATTCTTATAGTACATTACTAAACAATATTCTCCAAACAAATAATGGCACACAACCAATCAAACAAACACACACAATAATAAATTAGTAGTGGTTACCTTTGCTCCTTAGCAAAATACTTCCCTTTATATGTGATGGATCACCATAGTCTTCACCTAACACAATCTACATAATTTCCAATGCCAAATATAATTACTATATATCATGCTCAAAAAGCCAATTTCAGGTTAGGTTAATTAACCTCAACAACCAAACACTCCCCCATAAATTTAAACATTTAAACTTTCTCACTTATATCACCATTACACTCAACACATCCATTCATAAGTTCCCAATATAGTTTTTAAACCCAAATCATCATCCAACCATGTAGGGTTTGAATTCAATCTATCCATTACAATAATCATTATCAAAACCATCTAATATATACTTATTGATCCTAAAATAAACCCTTAAGTATGTACCAAATGGCTGGGACCTCACACTAACACCAAACCTTAACATTTTCCCAATTCAAATTAGATAAAGAGAAGGATTAGGAGGTAGGAATGAGATTAGAGATGTAACCTTAGCCATTTTAGGAATCCAAATTCGTGCACTTTAAGAATGAAAACCTTCAAACCCTAATAGAGCCAAACATTTTTTACCCAAACCCTCTAATTTTCTCCCTTTTCTATTTTGTTTCATGTCTGTTCTTTATTTTAAAATTTGATATGTGCACCACAACACATGGCATAGAGACAACCATTCTGGCCTATGCTATTGCACCCAAATCCAACCCAATACCCTATTTTGGACCCTAAACAACCTTTATTATCATTTCTATGCCCAATTGAGTTATAATTACAAACCTAATTAACTCAGTAACCTTAATAATCCTCAATTTAACATAAATCATCAATTAAATTTCTCATTTAAAATTTAAGATATTACACAACTTGAATAAACCCAAAAAACTGTAGGACTGAGCTTGAAAATTTTCTTTACTTTAAGCTTATTTGGGTTACTTGAATAAACTTGAAAAACCTATGCCAGGCCTAAATCGAAATGAGCTTAACTAAAATACCAAATTTTTTTCATTATTAATAAAACAAAATTAAAATTAGATGAAACTTGAATATCTTAATTTTTTAAGATAAGAAAGGAAAGTGGCTAAAAAATTAAAAATAAAATAAAAATAAGTAACAATTTGAGTATTCCAGCTAATTCATAAATGCTTGAAAGCCTAAGTTGTTAGGGTCAAGGGTAGTTGTAAAATTTTGAATTTTAATCTCAAGAACTAGTTACTAATTAGGGATAAATTAGTAATTAGGGAATTGATTATAGTTTTGATGAGTTAATGTTTTGTGTTGTTTGGGTGTTGCATTGATAGGATGAAAGGGTAGAGAGGTAATTTGGGACAGAACACGCGAGCATAAGTGAGAATCTTCTTACTATGCCATGCGCCATGATGGAAGCTATAACATCTTGAATTTTAATCCCAAAAAATAGTTGTTAATTAAGGATAAATTAGTAATTAAGGGATTGATTTTGGTTTGAGTATGGAGTTGATGTTTTGTGTTGTTTGGGTGTTGCATTGATAGGATTGAAGGGTAGAGAGGCATTCCGAGATAGAACGCACAAGCATAAGTGAGAATTTTCTCACTGTGCCACATGTTACAGTCAAAGTGGTGTGCACCGTAGTGCACCATCCAAAAATCACTTAAAACTGACGTGAATAGCTTATGAAAATAGAAGGGAGAATGCTGGAAATGCATTTAGAGAGCAAAAAGAAGCCATCTCTACTAAGGGAAGCCATAGTTAGAGCTTGAGAGTTTGTTTTAATTGATAACTTGCTAGGTAAGTATTGCATAATTCCAAGCTTTAATTTTACTCCTTTTTCATTAAATTTCATCGGTTGAGAAATTGAATTGTTTTATGGATTAAAGGATTCGGTTTAGCCACATTAATGCCTATGAAATGTGTTGGAAATTAATTGAGGGACACTGCGTTGTGTAGATTAAGCACTTGAGAAGTTGCTCGTGAGAATCTACACCCCGAGGAGCTTAGTTTAATTGGTAACCCTTAGTAGCAAGGATTAAAGATAACTAGAATAACCTTTTTACTAGTTTGTTTGTGAAATTATTTACAAGTATTTTAATATAACTATGTGCATTGTATTATGAATTGATAGAGTAGCAATATTATGAAAGTATATGCATGCGAGTGTGTGAGTACTGATTGAAATGAATTTGAAAAGTGACATGTGTATTGACATACATTGCATCTGTGAGAGACCCTAGACTATGGTAGGGAGAAACACAGCCCTACTATGAGGACATCCAAGAAGTCCTAATGATCCAAAGCATAAAGCTTGACTCCTCCAGGATAAACATAGGAGAAGAAATCCTGATGATGCAGAGTGTAGAGCTTGACCTTACCACGATAGACCTAGGATATAGAATGATCCATGAGGTTACCCTACACTAGGGTTGGGGGATGTGGCCTTACTCTATATAAGGCTAGGAAGTCTTAATGATGTAGAGCGTAGAGTTGGGC